AAACCCAAAACCCTAAACCCGAAATCGTTAACGGGCAGTTTAACGGTTAAACTGCCCGAACCCAGGGTTGGGCCTCGTGGGTTTCCGGTCCGAACCTTCACTGGGTACTTGGAGGCTGTACCCAGAGACTCCAATACCCCTTAATTAAGGAATATACCTTAAATCATAGTAGGGATCCTACTATAATTTAAGGTATATTCCTTAATTAAGGGGCATTGGAGTCTATGGGTATTATAGCCGCCTTCGTCGTTAGCGTAGGTTGTTGGGGTGTCAGGTAGTATGTTTATAACTGGGAACATGAAGGAATAGTACGGAATAGCAATATAGTTGGGAAGTATTCTGGTCTATGTTTGGGTTTCAGGGCGTGAGGCTTGAGAGAGCTTTTTAGTTTGGATGCTTCTAGCAAAATATGTTGTGTAGGATGCTTGAATCTCATGACTGATGCCTGAACCCACAAAAATAGAATGTACTGGTAACAGGAAATGCGGAACGATTAGAACAGGTATCGGAGGTATGAGAAGCCTCAGAGTGGTCATGCTAGGAAGAACACAGAATTGAAACTAGAATTATCGTTAGAACTGCAACGATTTACTAAAACCCTAAACCCTGAACCCCAATCCTTAAACCCTAAACTCTCCGTCGATCGCAAGGGCTGGCGACGTTTGTTGCAACCATGGCAGATCCGAGCTTTGGGCCCCCCATGGTCCGGACCTCACCCAGTTGCCATGGGTGTGCAAAGTGCCTGACATTTCGGGTTTAGGGTCTAGGGGTTCGGGGCCCAGGTTTAGGGTTTAGGGGTTCGGGGCCCAGGTTTAGGGTTTAGGGGTTCGGGGCCCAGGTTTAGGGTTAGGCTTTAGGGTTTAGGGGCTCCGGATTCTTCGTTGATCCTTAGTTGGTTGGGGAGGACAAGGTATCGAACGCCATCGTGGCTCTGCAGGAACAGCATACAGTAGGATTCTTCAGGTCGTGATATGGGGGTTTCCGAAAATAGGGCTACCTTATTTTGGGGGTCCTTATAACAAGGGTCCTACTATTTAGGGTACTATATTAGGGTCCCCTATTTTCGGAAACTCCCATATAACATCTTCCTGGGTCTGTGTGGGGTACTGCAAGCTCCAAACACTTCGTAAACCCCAAATCCCAAAATCCTCATGCCTAAGACCCTGAAGCAACTCTGAATGCTCGCCGCGAGTATTTGCTCTTGGCTGCGTCACAGGTTTGATTTCCCCGGTGTGGGTTTGGTAGTCCATCCCTGTTGTGTTTGGAGCACTTGGGCCACTCATTGTTTTGGAGTGTTTGTTCGGCTGAACCCTAAACCCTAAACCCTAAATCCCTAAACCCTAAAGCCCTAAACCCTAAACCCTAAAGCCCTAAACCCCCTGGAACCCTAAACCCTAAATCCCTAAACCCTAAAGCCCTAAACCCCTTGTTGTTGGCCGTAAGCTCAACGCTTCAACTGTTGGGAGAAGCCGTTCCCAAGGGCGCAACTGCCAGCAAGGCTATCAGTTTATGGCTGGGGGTGTTCGGGTTAAGGGTTTAGGGTTTAGGGTTTAGGGTTTAGGGTTTAGGGTTTAGGGTTTAGGGTTTAGAAGCCTAGATAATAACAAATATCATTCTTGGCGTTCCTTATTATAGACATAGTTATAGTCTCATATACCCCAAAATCATTCTTGGGGTTCCGTATTATAGTTATAGTATACTGTACCCCAAGAACCTTATTCTAATTATTAAGACCCTACATTAGGTTCAAGTCCAGGTGCCAGGGGGCTCGGCCTTGAGGTACAGGCTGTGGCTTCAAGGAGACTGAAACCCTAAATCTGAGTTTATCAGGGTTTAGGGTTTAGGGTTTAGTGTTTAGGGTTTAGGGTTTAGGGTTTAGGGTTTGGAGGTTTAGGGTTTGGAGGTTTAGGGTTTAGGGTTTAGGGTTTAGTGTTTAGGCTGCCATGTGTGGAAGGCCTTTGCCATTGCCATCCACAACATCCCTGAAGGTGGGGGGTGTTTCGAGTGTGAGAGTATGTTCGATGCAGTCTTTTGCCCGTGCTGAACAGCCGAAGGATGGCAGTCGGGTTCAGAAAATGAGGTGGGGTGCCTTGTTCAGGAGTCTGTGTGGTGTGGGTTCGACTATTTACCACACGAATATTTATCACCGTAGTAGGGTTCCGATTTTCGCTGTATCCCCATGCTTAGAAGCTTTTTCGGCAACGGGGCGCTGTGTCCGATGTCGTCTACCGCATGAAGAACAGCACGCCTGGTAATCTGAGAACAGAGGAAGCACGCTTCGTCTTTGATATTTGGGCGGGTCCGGTTTGGCCAAAAACCCACCCTTATAAACCCCGAACCCTAAACCAAAAAAACCTTGAACCCAAAACCCTAAGCCCTAACCCTAAACCCTAAACCCCGAACCCTAAACCCCAAAACCCTGAACCCTAAACCCTAAACCCGAACCCAAAACCCTAAACCCTGGAGCTGCTGGCAGCGCGTTGCCCTGCAAATCCGGGTATTCGGACCTCGAATATATGGGTAGTTCTCTAAATTATGGTCCCTTTTCGGGGTTAAGGGGATCTATTAAAGGGTTTAGGGCTTAGGTCCACTGTAAGGTTTCTATATGGGTAGTTCTCTACATTAGGGCCCCTCCTTGGGGTGGTTTTTATAGGGGTGGCGTACTTTTTTAGGGACCCCAAAAGGGGGAGCTTAAGCATAGGCATCGACTACGGAAAAATTGCTAGCACTATAGAGTTTAGGGTTTAGGGCTTGCTATTCCCTGATCTTTCTCTAGTATACAAATCGCAGAAGATACCCCGAAACCCTGATATGTTAGGCCCTTGTAGTAAACCCTAAACCCTAAACCCTAAACCCTAAACCCTAAACCCTAAACCCTAAACCCTAAACCCTAAACCCTAACCCTTTAGAGCTGAGTCCGAAGCTGTAAATCATGAGCCGGAAAACCCAGGGTGGCAGTCAGAAAAGCTAGTTTGGGAGCTAGTCTGTCTGGCGCTTAGTAGGGAATGGGGGAATGGATTATAGGGACTACTATAAGGGACCTCATAAGGGACTATCATAGGGATCCATTCCCTCATTCCCGACTAAGCACCAGACAGTAGTTTGGGGTGTAGGACCAGTGTATAGGGTTTACCGTTAGGGCTTTCGTTATGGGTTTACGGCGTGGAGTTGGGGGTTTTAGGGTTTGCGGCTTGGTGTCTAGGGTTTAGGGCCTTTGGGCAGGCAGCACAAACACTCTCACATCCCTTTTCCTTGTTGCCGATGCCGTCTGTGACTAAAGACTAAAGCATTGCTGGGTCTTTGAGCTGGACGAACCGTAAACCCTAAAGCCGTAACGTGTAGTAGCGTTCCCTTATCGCCCTCACCTGAAGACCCTGCTCCTATTCGTAGTTCGCCCTAAGTAGCTTCCCTAAACCCTAAACCCTACGTGTCTATGCAGGCCTCGCGGTGGCTGCCCCCATTCTCAAAGCGACCAACTCTAAGTGCCCTTCGGCGGAAGATTTTGAAGATGTGCAGGTCCGATCTACTGATTGCTGATAAGGGACGGTTTGTAAGCTTGTGGAAGATGCCCTAAACCCTAAACCCTAAACCACCCCTAGCCCGAAGAAGAACCCGTCCCCGCAAGCGCTGCCACTTTGAGCTTGAAGCAGGTGGTTTCGTCGTTTCTGATCGGAACCCTTTAAGTCAAGCCCAGACAACTGAAGTCTACTCGCGCTGTACTGTAGATAGTATATGGGCCTAAATCGTTGGAATGGGGTGGGGTGGTGCGGACTGGCGTCGGTCTTCTGAAGCGTTTGAGCACCTGGTCTGTTGCCGGTGCACTGGAAGCAGCGAGAATGCCATTTCAGCATCCACAGAGAACTTTTTTACGCAGCCTCGGGAACACTCAAGTTCCGGTGCGCCTTCCATGGATTAAGGCGGTCGTCTACCGGTTTGTTGCTTGCACCCTCGGTCCACGTCTTGCACTTTGGTTCCTTTGCTTCCCTTGGACATTGAAGTCCCCGACCCTCTGCGTCCAGGTCGTCCTCAGCCTCGCGTCTCCCCGCCGCTGCCAAGGCCATCTGCTCAGCCTCTTCCCGCGTCTTAGCGATCGGCCTCGTGTTGGCGATCGTCCCTGTAACTTCCAGCGTCTCAGCTTTTACAACCCTGTCAGCCTGACGCTTCCTTTGGCGCTTCAATCGACGCCTGGCAGCCCATGCTGCGCGATGATCTTGCTCCAGCTTGTCCCGTGTGCCAGATATGGCACCCTCCTGAACCCCGTTCGGCGCCAAGCTACCAGATCCCTCGCATGCGATGCTGCAGCAGTGACTGGCGCAGTCGTCACTGTCGCAGCGATAGCAGCGATGGTGCTCCGTGGTGCACGCTCCCGGCACGCGGCTGACATCGCTGCACGAAGCAGCGATGACCAGCCGTCGCCCACCCTCAAAGCCCTTCGGAACTATCTGCACCTGCGATCGCTCGAGCCTTAGAACGGAGTTTGGGGGTGTCTTGTTATAGTAGCATACTATACTGACCGCTACCAAAGGAACCCTCAGGAACATTACTACCCATAATACAGGCTTCTACACTAGATCGCAAGCCTTGCAAGACGATTCCAAGAGGGCCAGGTTTGCCCCTAAACCCTAAGCCCCTAAACCCGAAAACCGTAAACCCCTGAACCCTAAAGCCCTAAAGCCCTAAACCCAAAACCCCTAAACCCTAAGCCCTAAAGTCCTAAACCCAAAACCCCTACACCCCAAACCCTAAACCGCAGACCGCAGGGACCCGAGGCCTGATAAATCGCATGGGCCCTTTGCGGTTACACTTGGGGGTTTAGGGTTTAGGGTTTAGGGTTTAGGGTTTGGGCTTGCACTTGCAGGACAAGGGCCCTGCGGTTGTGAAAACCACCAAAGGCCCTCAATTCTCACCTAGAACTCAAAACCCTAAAACCTCTAAAACTCTAAAACCCTAAAGCCCCGATTCTTACCTAAAGCTCAAAACGCTAAAACTTCTAAACTCCTAAAGCCCCAACTCTCACCTAAAGCTCGAAACCTCTAAAGCTCTAAGCCCTCAACACGAAACCCCGAATGCCTGAACTTAGACCCCTAAACCCCAGACCCCTAAACCCCCAATCCTAAATCCCCTATAACCCTAAACCGCTAAACCGCTAATCCCAGCTCTTGAAGGTAAGGCTTTCCTCTGGGCTTTCCTCTCCGGGATGTCTGAGCCACTGGGTGGGCTGTTCCTTCGACTTTATTCAGCGTCTCGGGCTTGAGGGTTTTATGTTTTTTTTTTTTTTGTGGTTTTTGTGGTTTTGGGGTTCTAGGGGTTTTTGGGGTTTTGGGGGTTTGGGGTTTAGGTCAGGTGACGGTTGTTCTAGGGCCATGAGATTCGGGTGAAGGGTATAGGGCTAGGCGCCAGCCCTAAACCCCCTTAACCTTCCCCTATCGTAAGCGGTTTCTGATGTAGGGTTTTGGGTCAGACGCTGGGCAGGCTTTGCGAGTTTGGGGTAGGGCCAAGGTTCATGGTTTGGTTGAGGTTTTACTGGCGGGGCTTATGGATGGGGGATGGGGCTTTAGGCTGCGGGGCTTTAAGTTTGGAAGGTTTTCTTGCAGGACTACAGACCACCGGCTGATAATAGCCTTCCTGAGATGGGAAAGGCCCGAGCCGAACAGGCTAGGGTTTAGGGTTTAGGGTTTAGGATTTAGGGTTTAGGCGGGAATGCGAGAATACATGGCGCTATAGCACAAGAGCAGATCGTTGTTGAGGCCCTCCGAGCAAGCTTCAGGGTGCATGCTTGTGAACCGTTTTGACCAGCTTCGTGCCATCAGGGTAAGATGTGGGCCGAGGCCGACTGTAGCTCCCATTTTTTTAGTTCAGGGTTTAGAGTTTAGGGTTTAGGGTTTCAGAACACCCCACTCAGCGTTCGCAAAGTATAGATAACAGAAACCAAGTCTCTGATGAGTCGAAGCCCCTAAACCCTGAACCTAAAACCCAAAACCCTTTTGGAGCGAGTTTATCCGGAAGCCTCACAGAAAAACCGTGGGTCGTTCTCTTAATTAGGGTCCCTTTTAGGGGTCCTTTTTATCAGGGTGCCGTACTATATTGGGGGCTTGAAGACAGACCCTATTTTGGAGACCCTAAACCCTAAACCCTAAACCCTAAACCCTAAACCCTAAACCCTAAACCCTAAACCCTAAACCAAAACCCTAAACCCTAAACCCAACGACCCACGCCTGTGTAAGGCTCGGTTGGCTTGTCCTCCGTGAGCTCGTTGGCCCAGTAACCTTTGCCATCCTCTTCGGTATCATCGCTGGTGTGATGGTGCCTGCAAGGGTTACTGTTGGGGCTTGCTTCTGCAAGGGTTGTTATAAGGGCCACCATCAGTATTCTACCATTATCTAAGGGTTCCATATCCAGAGGCGATACAAGTTACAGAATGTACACCTCTTGTTCTCGGCTAGTAAGTAAACGTGTCTTTTTCTAGAATTTTTACATGTAACTAACAGGGTTCTAGAAGGTGTCTAGAGTCTAGAAGGGTTACCAAAGGGTTTCTATACAGGCTGTTGCAGTCTGAGCAGGATTTGTATTCCTGTTTCTGGAACTTGCCCTAAACCCTCAACCCTAAACCCTAAACCCTAAGGCGGGTTTGAAAATGCGGGTGTCGGCTTCGAGTCTCACACTGCAACAATGCCTTTGATTGCGAGTTTAGGGTTTAGGGTTTAGGATTTAGGGTTTAAGGGTTTAGGGTTTAGGGTTTAGGGTCTCGTTTACACCGGTCCATTGCAGATCCTGGAAATCATGCTAATCCCGAAATCTCAGGTCACCAATCCTAAGCCGTCCGTCGTTCGGAAGGTACCAAAGAGGGTCGATACTGCCTTGTGAAGGAGACTGGCAACCGCAGCAACAATATTGATGTTACATTGCCATAAAGAGAGCAAAACAGCACAACAACGACAATTTAGAGCTCAAGCGCAGAGCCCATTACTTTGGAGTAGTGCTCGGGATGTAGGGGCTCTCATTACCGCTAGGCCCCTCAACCCTAAACCCTAAACCCTAAACCCTAAACCTTAACCCTAGCCATGTCAGATACACATCTCCTTCATGAAGCTTCTTCCCACTGCGCTGAAATACGATCCGGAGATGCCTGGTGTATTTCAGAGGGTGGGATTGATGGGCTGTCCTTTACTAACAAAGCAAAGTGGACCTTGGAAAGGTCAAAGTTGAGGGTTTTAGGGACTGTTTTGGGTGCAGATGTTGCTGCTGTTGCTGCAGATCTAAGTGCGAATCACTTATGTACTGGGTTGCGATTTCCTGTCGTCGGCATAGCTCTGGTATTGAGTGTTTCTGTCTGTGCAGTTCCAAAGATGAGTGCGTTGCTGGTGCGGTGCTCATGGTGGTTCTGACGACGAAGCCTATTTTGGCCAGGGTGGCGAAACGAATGGCGAAGATGATCGGAGGGAATGGGGATGGTGACGGTTAGGACTAGCAGGTGGATGAGGATGATAATGATGATGGTGATGGTGATGGTGATGGTGATGGTGATGATGATGATGGTGATGATGATGATGATGATGATGATGACGATTAACTCGGGGCCTTCGTCATGGTTGTCACCACGAACACGAGCATGATCATGGTATGATGAAGGTGACTGTGATGGTAACAGGCTTGGTATTGTCGGCTAATTGCAGCATCCGGAGCGACACAGCAAACGGGACTTGCCATAGTGGGCATGCTTTACAGGATCTTGGTGAAAAGTGACAAGTCATAATCCCAATCAGCGCAAAGCTTAGAGCGGCTTGGAGGCTTAGAGCTGCTTGACAGCTGTTTCTAGCAGATTCTGGCAGTCATGCTCGACAGGCTGTTAACGTTTGTTTAAGTCTATGCCCTGACGTCGCTTTTCACACTTATTATGTGGGTCATTGCGGTCGTTTCTAGTGTTGGCCCACTTTTGCTTCTCGCTACGAAGCGCCGTCAACAATCGAGGGGTCATGGCAACATCGGCGAGTAGGGCACACACAGACAGTAGTAGTCGTAAGCCCGACTATACTGCAAGGCATTAATCTCGCATTGCCAGCCAAAGCTGCTGCAAACCCAAACACCGACGATCCATGTTCAGAGAGGCCGGCCCTTGACCCTAACCCCCTACTCCATACACCCTCAAGATAACAGTCTGATTTCTGAATGCTCAACCCAAAGAGCAGAAGCCTGGTCGCAATGGAGAGTGTAGCTGAAGACGGGTTTCGCTCCAGGTTGGGGCTAGTCTACAGGGTGTAGGGTTTGGGGTCTAGGGTGTAGGGTTTTCTGGGTTGGGGTGTGGAGCTAAGCAGTTGTATTGGTGAGAAACCCTAAACCCTAAACCCTAAACCCGTGTGTGTGTGTGTGTGTGTGTGTGTGGCTACTTCGAGTTGTTGGGATACGAGCAGTCATAACATGTCACGCCCCTGCTCCTTGCAGGAAAATATGGTGGCCTAGTATAGAAGCCACACCAAGGGGTTTAGGGTTTAGGGTTTAGGGTTCAAGCTCTGTACAAAAAGAACACGTGAAAATGCGGCAGCTTCAATATCAATAGCACCACCCTGAACCCCAATTAAAGCCCCTACATAAGCCACCGCGTAAGGAATCGTTTCACCGGCTATTCTTTTTTTGCCGGGATGGCCGTGATGGCCGCTTCGTTGGTTGCGTTCCAATACTGCCCCATTGGCTGCAGCCGAACGTTCAGGGTTTATGGATTTAGGGTTCGTGGTCTAGGATGCGGGGTTTAGGGGGCATTTGGGGTTCGTGGTTCAGGGTTTACGAGTTGACCGTAAGCCCCAGTTCTAACATCCGCAACCTTCAACCCATCTCAATCTCACAGCCCTCAAGCCCTGAAGCATCCCGCAAACCGTAAAGCCTTGAAATTCGAAACTGCAACTCGCCTTGAGAACACTGGCAACACATTCTAATTCGACGCATCCATCGTCTAAGCCGCAGCACCCAAGATGCTAAACCTTGGCCGTCAACTCGTAAGCCCTAAGTCTCTCTCTAGACTCCCTCTACCATGAATGATGCCCGTTGGTATTCACGAATGAGGACCATGAGGCACTATCCTTGAGGGTCTTGGTAGGTCCGGGGGTGCAGCGTTAGTCCTACACGTCAGCCCCGCTGAAGCTCAGGGGAACGGGTACTGTAAGGTTTTCAAAAGGTTCTGAAAGGCTTTCCAGGATCTGTACGGGTCTTATGACGGGTTCTCTCGGTGTCTACGATTTTTGAGGGCTCCTTTTTCTGGGAGGATTGCAATCAGGATCTTACTAGTGAGGGCCTTGCTTGGATCCCTTGTTTTCTGAAACCCGCAGGTGGATGGTCTTATATTCTGGGTTTAAAAGGCAGACTAAAGGGGCTCAGGGAGTCCGCGTCGGATTGACAGCCGTACCCCGGACCCAAAACCCTAAACCCTAAACCTTCAAACAAAAAGAAACCTAAAGCCCTAAGCCCTAAGCCTAAAAGGGCGTTTGAGGGGTTCAAGATTCAAGGGTCTTGGATGCCGGGCTCGAGCAAGCCAGAACTTACAAAGCTCACCTTGGACCCTGACGGGGATCCGAAACATGTGGTAGGGTTTAAGGTTTGGGGTTCGGGGTGCGTGGTCAACTAACCCTAAACCCTAGACCCTAAACCTTTGAAACAGAAGAACGCACTTGAGCCGAGGAAGTTGCCAATTCAACCCTTTGCTCCCAGACGTGGGCAAAGTCTCTGTGAGATCGCACGGCTGTGGTACGTAGAGTATATTTAACACGGTTTAGGGTTTAGGGTTTCGGGTAATTCTGGTCATAGGATAAAACGCAGTGCCTAGTGTTTAGGCAAAAGAGCTTTCAACATGGTATAGAGCCGCAAGTAATCTTTACTCTATATCTTTGGCTTGGTGTACAGACGATAAGTTGTACCATGAACATCGGAGGGTTCAGAAGATATAAGGCCAGTCATAGGCATCACGCCGACAAGGCTGTTCACAGTCACAGGGTCACTGCGCTTGTTTCTTTTTGCACAGTTATTCACCGAATTGGCGGGCATAGCTTTTCGGACATCTTATCTTAGAACTTGCGAAAAACTGGTAACGCAAGCCCTCCTCTGAAGACTAAACCCACCCTCTCAATCCATACCCCCATGTGCCCACGAAAAGGTCCGCTGTCGTAAATACAAAGCCATAGATGTAACCCGATTATAATGCCCTCTGGATTGCAGGTGATGTGTATGGATATTCTGGCTCTTTAGGTTTTGTTCAGGGCTGTTAAAAACCGCGCCCCCCCCTCCCCACAGTCAATAAAGCCTGAATCTTTTCGGTTACTTCACTGCTACTTCGGTTAAGGGTTTCATTCCGTAGTCTACACAGGTTTATTGATCGTCTTTGCGATCCACAAACTGCTCGCAACCCTTACCTACACCCCTATACACTATAAGCCCAATTAACTAGTGGTTGTTCTTGCCTTGCTGTTTTGGGTTGCAGGTTAATGTAGGAACTTGACTTGGAGACACCCAGTTGATTGAATATCCCCCAAAAGAAGAGGAGCAAGAGAACGAACCCGAGTAAGAACCAGTGATTTCTGGCTAAAGCTCTAAGAGGCAAAGCCTAAACCCAAGACTCTAACATGAATAGTGGCCTAAAGCCTAAACTACTCTGAACCATCAATGCTGCACCTGAATCTGAACCCTGCCCCTAGATTCGCCAATCCGCAGACCGTAGGACCGAAGACCCTGAACCCTAAACCCTTTGTGGGTTGTAAGGGAGGTGAAGTCTTATCTCTTTATTTATCGATCTTGCTATCTATCCACCTAGTTGCTTAGACACGGTAAGAAGAGAGCAACATTAAGAAGCACAAGAATGATAACAGTAACCAAAAAACAGTAGCTGCAATAGTAGTAGCAGGAGCAACCAATACTGAAGGTTTAGTGCGGTTGGGGTTTCCGGCTTCTCGGCCAGCCACGCCCCACGCTGCGTCGCGTGTGTCATGCAGTCGGTCAGGGGGGTTGCAACATTCCCTGACTTGTAAAGCAATTCTCCACGTGACTTGCTGTGGTACCGCGCGATGTCAGCTTTTGAAAGAACAAATGCTGAACAACGTCTCTATTTCGGTTCCCCTCATATTTTCCCGGACACAAGCCTGTTTTCCTAAATGGACTCGAAAGCAGCAATTTTATATCCGTTGTTCTTGAACATGTCAACTCTTTAAGATCTGAAGAATAGCTAGTCAATCATATTTAGACATTTGACATTTCGGGGCCACACGATTTAGATGGAGTATGTGAAGTTTTTATGATCACATGTTCGAGATTCTGACCTTACAGCGGCGATCGGCTCGCCTGCAGCGATGTCTTTTGTGCCGATCTAGAATCTCAGAATAGTATTATCGGTATTTTTCTTATTTTATTGTTCATTTCTTCTAACTTTATCCTTATATCTTATAACAGAGGTATAAGATCTTTCGATTATGTTTCCCTTTTTCCCGAAAATTATTGGTTTTCTGTTTAAAGTAAAACTGTTAGAATACAGGACCGGAGAATCCCTCATGAATATGTCTTGGTTTGTGAAGCTTGCCGAGTGAAGGCGCGAGTAGTCTAGTGGATGGTGATGGACGGGCGGATGGGTGTGTGTGTGTGTGTGTGAGAGAGCTTTGTTCGGGAGTGCAGGTACCGGTCATTCGCTCCATTCAAGTACAACGATCACAATGACGACCACAACGAAAACACCAACGACTCCAACGATAATGACGACTACAACGACCAGGAGCACGACGACGACCACCACGACGATGACGACGAGGACCCGGGCGCGCCGGTTCCCAACAGCCCTTCAAGAGCAGGGGTATAGTTGTGGTGTGGTGTAGCGGCGGTGGTGTTGCGATGGCGGCGGCGTGGATGTTGTGGTGTAGTCGCGGCGGTGTTGTGGTGGTGATGTTGGGATGGTGATCGTGGTATGGTGTGATGGTGGTGTTGTAGTGGTGGTTTTGTGATTGGAATGGTGGTGCGGTAGGATGGTGGTGACTGTGGCGGTCGTGCTGGTGGTATTGGGATGACGATAATGGGCGGGATGGCATGATGGCGGGCATAATGGAGACAGATAATGATAGAAAAAATGAGAAAATAATATTTTATTAATAATTCTAAT